TATCGTTTCTTTCCGTTGAATTTGAACATCAAGTGAGAAAAAATATTTAGTGTAAGTATTTTTTTACAGGTTTACTTGTGATGACAGGTTTTGCAACTTACCCAAGCATCTTCACTTTATTTATTTGTTAACCCCACTGTAAATTATACGATATATTTTGAATGATGTTTTTCATTATTGAACAGAGAAGCATGCATTTAAAAGAAATAATTATACATGCGCATTATGGTTATGAAACTAGGAACATGTAGGAAGAAAGAACGACAAGACAGTGCGACGTTCTGAGAATGCAGTCCTAGACAAAATACATTTACACTGGATCGGGGATCGATACTCACATGATTGTGTGCGGCGCTGTCATTCTGACAGATATCGAATGTAAAATCAACAAACTAGATTTGATACAATACAAACACGTCATTATTTTTGTCGGGGAAATGACGTCAGTATGGTCACTAAACGTATTGAAATAATGTATTTTTAAAATCATTGATTATGTTGAAGTTAATTTACTTTAACAGTTAATTATCGATAATACTGGAAGAATTTCGACTGTAACATATGAATGCGCCTTTACCACAGCCGTTTCCAATTCTGAATGATGTTCCCTTGCATAAATCAAGTACCTTATTTCCCTGTACATTACTTACACTTGAAAATCTCTGTATCAGTGTATCTGTTCATCTATTTCTACTACAAGCCTGTAATACAATATATAGACCGATTTGCATGCCGCCCGAGCATTGCAGTCTTCTGTTACTAGTACTGTCCCTTTAAATTCAAATAAATATATAACATTTTGTAAACAATCAAATAAATCATCATCGATAATGTTTGTAATAGGAGATAAATCACTGCACACATAAACCCCTGCAATGTATATATCATATACGGTTCCAAAGAAGTCCCTGTCCAGTGTCATCCAAACGATTGTTTCATGCCTGTTGAAAGCATTACTTAAATTTCATTTCTCACATAAATGACTATTCCACCACTGTTTCTCTTATAAATTTTCGATAGAAATTATAGCAAAAGTATCCGTCCAGCTCAATATTTGATGTTTTACCAATCCATGTTTCAGTCAGAATAACGATATCATGTTTAGTAATTATGTTATCGAATTGACTCTTTCTTACGCGCACTCAGTCCATTACAATGCCAACCCATCTTCACCCCCGAATCATCTTTCACGACTTTTCCGTCGATATATATTTATAAGGTATCATACGCTATCCACGCTTTGTGTCTTGCTGTTATCGCGTCTTTCATCTTAGACACTAACTTCTGCCTTTTTTTCTGCTACTGTCGTAGGGTATTGCTCCGTAATGTATTAACTGATATTGTTTAGTTTGTTGCTTAACAGTTTTAACATTTCTTTGTCTTATTAGAATGTAAATTTACATACGATTTTTCTACGTGGAGTGTTCAAATACAATTTGTGAATACAAATATTACAGAAGTGCTAAACAAATAGTGCAGAAATAATTGTCTCAATCCTTCAAAATACTCTCCACCATGTGATATACAAAGTTTTAGTCTTTTAATCCAATTTTTTTAATTCGTTTTCATAATCTAATCTTTTCGAGGTATACTATTCAGTCACTGGAAAATAGCCGAACCGAGATTTTTTCACGTTTGATATTCCAGAAAGGTGCTTGTTTAGCCTCGGAAATAGGAAAAAGTTACAAGAGGCAAGATCTGTCGAATAAGGAGGATAAGGAAGCTCGACAACCTTTTCCTGTTTCAGATATTCTCGTACAATGACCGTTTTGTGTGACAAAGCATTGTCATGCAAGGTCCTTGACTTCCTTTGGTTGGCCATATTTTATTTAACTAAAGTATCTTTTGCTCATTAAAGTCATCGTCGGATACCCACGGCCGAACCATTAACATTGATCAGATTATGATTTGATAACATGTTATGTTACATGTTAATCAACCGTGGGTGTCCGACGATGATAAAAGTGATTCCATGTCTCATCGCCAGTGATGATATTTGAGAAAAATCAATTGTTGTATTAAGGGAACTGTTTCAATCGTTTGGAGATTCTTACCCGAACAAGTTTTTGCTCTTTTGTAAGGAGATTGGGTATCCTTAAACTTCTCATTTCTTAATCACGTCTGAGAATTGTACGAGTGGCTCCTACAGATATACTCACGCATTTAGCTACATGTATATACCTAGCTGTAAATCTTGCATCAGTAGCAGTCAAATTCTTTACATTTTCAACCATTTTTGGCGAAGTTGCAGTTTTCGGACGGCGTGCATGAAGTGCATCTGTTACTGAATCCACTCCACTTTTAAATTAATTTCTTACACCACTGTGTGACAGATGAAAAAGAAAATTCATTGTTCCAATAAACACGACATATTTCATTAAATATGTCTTTCGCCTGTATACTAGCGGTTCTTGATATAGGACCGTATTTTGTAAGTGACAAGAGACCTTTTCCCAAACATTTTTGTACATAGTTCGTGCAAAACGCGGTATAAAGCGAAATATTGGCCTAGTTGCATTCATATTTGAACATCTCTCGTATTTTTCTTATCATTGCCCCGACCAATTATCCCTTCTTCGCCTCGTACAGTCGCTGTGACTCCTATGCGGTGCACCTGGGCAAGCTTTAGATTAAGTGCGGTTTCGTCATCAATTTGTAACTTATTTATTAGAAGTCTTTGACAATCTTCTCAGTTTAAGCCAGGGTTTCGTTCATATTTTCCTCTAGAATGCTAATAATAAGATTGTTTTCAGACTTTGGGCTTAAATGTAATTCCATTCACTTTTCTCTCCCTAAGTCACACAAATTTGCTTCTATGTTCTCTTAGTCTCTTTCGGCTAACGAAATTCAATCATCAACCCTGTCTACCCTTTATTGTGTAACTTTGTCTGTGTCGTTGATATGCAATTATATTTTCTTCAATTAGAAGTCAAATTTTCCACTTTCTTTTAAAGGTTATCCAATTTATCAAGGTGTCTGCTCATACCAACAATTGTTAAATTCATTTTGCTAAGCATAGCTACAATATCCTCATTTGTCGCTCTGATCTGCGCAGTTGTACTCGAAGACTTAGTCGATCCCGATGGCACCATTTCCTATCTAGCTCTTCGTAGTTTTACCATTCGTGTTTAAAACTGATACGACATTATTCCCAACAGTTATGCCTTTAGGCGGGATTACTGGTGAGAAGGTGTCACTATTATACAAGATCGAATTTGTTTCGTCTTATTCGACACTTAGAGATCTATTTGCCGGTGGCGAAGTCGTGGATTTAAATACATGGATGGATTTAAATATCTTACTAAGAGCATACAATTCTTCATCACTTGTACAACTTCTGTTCCTGTTTCCTTTTCTTTACTAGGTATTTTACAGTTTTATTATGTCCACTTTAATTCATTCACAAAATACTTTATACTGATATAAAAATATTTAGCATAACACTGATAACTTTTAGTAAATCCAATAGTTTTTATCAACAACGAAAACACACGTCTGCACTCTATTACACCTTGAACTATGATACCTATAAATTAGATGTGCATAAATCAACTTGTTTGGAAGGCATTGGTTGAAATACTTTACGTAACTGTATTGACCAAATCACTACACGATTAACAGTTCTATTAATTCAGGCTTATTCCTTGCCTCTCTCAAAGAACCTTATGTTCTACCGATATTCAAGGGTAACGATAAAGAAAATGAAAGCAACTGCAGGCCTTTATCCAATCTGTCTAAAATTCTCAAAATATTTGAAAGACACATAACAAATCAAGTACATCAAAAACAAACAACCTTCATAAAACTGAATCAGGGTTTAGACAGTATCATGCATGTCACACATCACTTGTTCATAGCTAACAGATATAGATTCTGGTAAGTATGTTGGAACTGTATTTTTAGATCTAAGGAAAGCTTTTGATCTTGTCGAGATGAAATTTTATTGCATAAGTTAAAACTTTAGCATTTTTTAAAATAAAGGTGTCCAACTTTTCCGATGTACCAAGTACAATAGCAGGCTGGAGCAATATTTTTATTTGTAAAATTATTTTTTGAGCATACAAATTAAATCATTTATAAAGTATTGACAGAGACATATTTTGTCTTGTTTGACAAACTTATTACCTTACGGATTGAATGAATGAGAACTTGAACATGAGTAAAACAAACTGACGCTATTACTACTGCTACCACCACCCCACCCCCTTCTTGTTATACACTCACATATTAAGATTTCATCTTAATAGATAAATGTTTATAAAAAAACACCTCTTCATTTTTTGACAATGAATATGTGTCGGTTTTACTGCTTTACTGATATTTTGACTTTTTCTTTGAGTTTATTGAGATGCCATTTATAATTTCTAATTTATAAAGACCATTTACAGTTGTTGTAAATGATAATTTATTTTACATGTAATACATATTAGATATGAATATATGCATGCTCACAGTGTTTTTCTTTTTCATTATTTCAATATTATCTGAGAACAAAGGTCACACATTGTTTAACCTTTTTGTTCTCATGGTACCTACTGTCCGGCATCTCGGTCATCATTATACACTGAACTCTTCATACAACTTTTATAAACTTTAATAAATACATGACTGTGACCATCGAGGCTGCAAGGCATACACATACTTGCATACTCTAAATACTATATAGTGACCACAATAAAAAGGATGAACTAAACATATTCACAGGCAGGTTATAATGGACTGCCTTGACATTCTCCGTGAAATTGTAAAAGGTTGTAGTTTGCGTCACTAGGTTTAATGATATGGAAATTCGAAAAAATGTTTTAATTTATTTCTAGTTTAAAAGTTAATATTGTACATATGTGTATACCTATTTATAAATTCAAGAGTTAATATTTCTTCACAAACTTATTGTCGATTAATCACATAGGTTTAGCACGTTAATTTTGATGACATTATTTTAGTTCATGTGCATTCATAGTCATGCAATGCATTTTAATTTAAAACTCCACAATAGTTCATTCTGAATGAAGATATCAAATCTATCAATCTTTAAAGCTTGCACATATACATATTTTGCAGTTGTTTGCGTGTATAAGTTACGTTTGTTTAATCAGCTGTATTGCTGTACTAGTATAATATTTCTAAAAGTGAACAATTAATGCTTTATTTTTCAGAATAAAATGGAAGTAACAGAATCGGAAATATTTCAACAAGGAAAGGAAACCAGCCGTGGAAAGTCAACACGTGGGATACCAACATTACGTCAGACATGGGATAAACAACTCGACTTTATTATGACGTCAGTCGGCTGTGCTGTGGGTCTAGGCAATATTTGGCGTTTTCCATATTTGTGTTACAAGAATGGAGGTGGTAAGTATATATACATGTTTTGCTTTAAACTTTAGCTTAACGTCTTTATCTTATTGACAACAAAGTCTTTTAAACCAGACTGAAATAATTGATTTCGCGGATCATACTTGTCATACAAGAAAATCGAGTTTATAGTTTTTGCATTGAGTGAATGTGTCCAATTGAAGTTATAATTCGTTTTATTTTACCCATTATTGTTCGTCCGAATAGATGTAGGCCATTCGAAATATTAATTTCTTTTTATAACATTAAACAAATGTCTAGAAATCGGCATTCCGGTAAGAGTGCTTTAGCGCCAAATTAACGTTCAACTCAACTATTCATTGTATATACACTGAATATTGCGTTTTAGATTGATTTCTACAAATGTGATTGCCGTATCACGATTCTGTTATTTTAACATCATATATCTTTTATAATAATACCTGTACGTATTTTTTCTTTTAATACATGTACCTTATCTACAAAAAATGGCTGATAGAAAAAAGAGCCATCAGTGGTCACGTGTGTCGCCTGATGATAGCCAATAAAGCAGTTGTATTAAGGGGCGACACCGATATAGTCCGGCTTCTTTGTAGCATGTATCAGCTACTGTTTATGCTCCAGATCAGATCAACTCGATCGTCCCGATCACATAATTTCCCCGATGAAGCCCGACCAAGCTGGATTAAATGCACATTCACGACTTCTACACGACCTCAAGTCGACCCTACACGATGTTTTACGACTTCTTCTCGACGAAAACCCGACCAACATCCGGATTTCTTCTCGATCAACCAGACCTATTCGCGAGTCATACACGATCTCAACTAGACTAACTGGACCTCTGCTCGATCGTTGCCAGATTTCCACCCGACCAGATCGTAATGAGCGTAATCGAGTCGTGGATAATGCTCAAGTAGAAATCGAGATGATCGTGTACAGATCGGGTAAGACCACAGTAGATCGTTACACGATTTATTCTCGATCAACTAGATCTTCTACTCGATCACTATACGATTGCTTCCCGACCGCTTATCTACTCGATCGCTACTCGAATTTTTTTGACATATCAAAAAATTCGGGTAGGAAGCCCGAGCCATGCCGACCAAGGTTGACCGCTCCGACCACCCCTGATCACGCATGCAGACCGAGCTAGACCGGTACCCGATCGCTTGATCGTGCTTGATCGAGTTGATCTGATCGGCGGTGAGAACACAAATAAACATAAGCAGGCCAAAAACATCTTTTTCAAGTAAGGGAAATTATTTACCAATAATTATTCAACCGGAAAACACCTGTGATATGCGCGAGTATTCAAAAGTACGAAAATCATTGAACTAAAAAATGCCGACAATATTCACAACTAGACCTGATACTGATGATTCCTGTTAAGTCTGGATGAAATTGCACCAGTTGTTTTTTTAGGAGTAGTCCAGATGAATTTCGTGACGGACGGTCGGACAGACTAAGGAGAGGACATTTATTGAGAACTTCTTTTGTTTAAAGGTAACCAATAAGTTCATAAAATACCCAACAAAACTGACAGATAAAATTTACTGTTTTCTGTACCCAACAGTGTCTTCTCGTTGGCCCGGATAGACGGACGGACACGACAGAAAAGTGATCAATATATGTCGCCGCTACTCTGTATCAGGCAACACAAAATGAAAAATCTGTGTTGCACTTGAGTGTGATCTAAAATGACGTTGCTTGCGTTATGCCAGTTACGGTATAGTTTTCATTTTATAAGCGTTATTTAAAGGCTCATTATTCCTCATTAACGCAATTATTTTCATTTCTCAAAGGCTTTTTACTTTTGATTTTATGTTAAATTTTCCACACAAGAAAGTAACTCATCGGCTACTTTCCTGAACCATCTTCTTCTCCTATTGCTTTCTGGCAATTAATACAGTGATTTACTATTTTATATGGAAGCCAAAATACTACTTTATTTAAAGTTTTCTTCCTTTATGACCAATACTTTCACAACCAACACTATTATTTTTAGGCGATAGCATCTGAAATCCTATAAAACCATTATTTTAACGTTTTATAACTCATGTTTCCGCTTCTTAAAGAAAGAAAAAAATCGTTTGTGAGGCATAATGTGCCTTTAAGGAGTACCTATATTTTAAACATAATTCTATTGAGCTTTCGTGGATTTCAGTAGAACGGATCATACTCGACGTGTGTGAGACTCGAGTCAAATTAAAGTTCAAGATCAATATAACCCTATAATAGCCCAATGTATTATTCTCGTTATATCTGAAATCAAATACAAACAAAGACATTCCTTTATAGAAAAAATAACTTCATCGTAAAATATAGTGTCCGTTTTGGTTCGTATTCAACGGTATTAAAACACTCTTTATTTTGAAATTTACCAACTCATAATTTATTATTTCAGGCGCTTTCCTGATTCCCTATACAATATCATTCTTTCTGGTAGCAGCGCCTACATATATAGCTGAAATCAGCCTGGGTCAGTATATGACCTCTGGTGTAGTACAAGCATGGAACATGATCCCTGTATTTCAAGGTAAAAACATTTATATATTATAATCACAGCATAAATTTTATATTATCAAAGTACATTGTCTGAACCTTTTATTAACATCTTTGAAATTATAGAATGTACCATCGTCGGTTACACACGGTATATATTCCGTACATACTACAATATCTAATGTTGTATGTACGGGATATATACCGTGGGTAACCGACGATGAGTTTGTTTGTTTGTTTCATTTTACGCCTTTCCCAAGAGTATTCCAGTCATATAGGCGGGTAGTTTCCTAACCATCGTTCCTGGAGAGTTACACCAGTACTAGACAACCTTCCTCCGAGCTAAACTACCAGAGCATCTCCCGGGGATCGAACCCACGCCAGAGTGGTACCTGGATTAGAAGTCATCGACCCTAACCCCTCGACCACGGAGGCGGTATCCGACGATGAGAATGTACATGAACAATGATAATGATATATATTATGCTTGTTATCTTAATTGATTTTCTTTTGTATTAACAATGATGAATAATTGACCATTTCATCAATTGTCCAATTGTTCCATGTCAGAAATTCAATTTAATGTTTTTTTTTACACTTTTGAAGCTCGATGGAGTTTCTTTATTCTACACTAAGTTACATTAATTTATTTACTACTGAAAAATAAAAAAAATTAGTTTATATTACACATGTCCTTTGTTTTATTTAACAGGTCTTGGTTTCGCAGCACAGATTATATTGTTGTATTCGAACATTTATTACATTGTCGTCGTTGCCTGGGCTTTATATTATATAGCAGTGTCCTTTACCTCACAGTTGCCATGGGCTACGTGTGGAAATTATTGGAACACAGAAAGGTAGTATCAAAATATAAAGTTTGTTTTCTATTTATTTATTTATTCCATTCGAATAAATATCATAATTTGATAAACTAAAATGACTGGATGTTAAAACTTTTTTCTGTATGCATATGAACCTTGAATATTTGCTGTACGTATTTAAAAAAAAGAAATTGTTATTCTTATACAACAAAATGATTGTGCCTACAACTTATTAACTTTATATAATAATTTTGAACTCCACATAGATTTATTTCAATATGCAATGGCATAACCTGGCACATCATAAAACAGATTTAAGACGTACGAGTATTAATACAAAGCAATATAAAAACGACGTTATATATCAAGCATAACACAAAAAGAATGATAATATTATCTCTGTGTTAATTTAAGAAGCGTAACCACATAAAAAAAATATAACCAATCGTAGAAAAACAAAAATAAATAATCTAATTTTAAAATGTGCTATTCTAATAACAATGGTTATTAGAAAACACAAAAACTATCCATTTAAACAATAAACAACAGTTATCTATGCCATAAAGATTTTGTCCTATGGTAAAATATCCTTCTAGATATTAAATATCATTTATACAATTTTCATTAAAAAATAATATATTAACAAAATATACATGCATAATAATTATTATAACATAATGACACATGAATATATTTATTTGATCTGCAAGATATGATTTTAATACTTATTAAAATTATATTTATAATGAAAGAATTTCTTACTTATAGAACTTTTTAATGTATCTATTAATAATGAAGCATATTATACGATAAATTGAGAAGTACCCGTAGAGAAGTGATTCAAGACCGCGGCATTCAGCTTTTCTAAAGCTTAAATATGTTATCTTTAGATAAACCGTTTCATATAATTGTGAAAACAATTAGAACAAGTACAAATGTTGCTGCAATATGCAGCAAATGAGAAGCTCCGCGCAAAAAAAAAAAATGCGCTCATAACAGATACTTTACCAAATTATTCCTATGCGCAGGTCATTTTCAATTTAGATTATTGTACATTATTCTGGATGTTTTGTAAATCATTTAAATCTGCACAATTATACTTATCGTATGCAGTGTCCATGAGAGAGGGGCCAGATATTAAATAAAGAAATGCTTTCACTGATGCCAACCTGGTAAAGAAAGTAATTCCAATACAAACAAAACTTACAAGACTTGTAATGTGACATGACAGTAGTGCAACATTGTTCTGTTTGTGTCACTACTGTACTCAGTAATGTTAGATTATAATAAAATATCAGAACATGTACATTTTCTTTTCACCTATAATGTAACTCATTTTCTACAAATATCAACAACTAACCATGGTTAGAAATATCCATGTGAAACAAAAACTTTCATCGACTTTATTTTTCAAAATGTCCGTTACATGTAAATCAACATTCCACTCATGCCAATCGATTGTCTTAAAACAAAATATAGACTAGGAAACATTCGGGAAATCAGGGCCGATTTTAGCTAAAGAGGCTTAAACAGTGAATAGGTTTTATAGTATACTACTGCTAGACCTGCTTACTGTCGCACAACGTCAAAATAAAAGCGACATATCAAGTTATGGAAGCCAGAAATAGGTCGATTTAAAATGCATTAACATACGGAATCCCCTTGATACCTCTAATCTGCCGCTCCGCTCTCTATATTTGTAAATTGGTAAAATCTGCTATCTTTAGAAACGAATGCCGACGACACTGAGAAAGTCTAGGAGTGACATGATGCACTTTTCTGAAATAGAATAACTGAAATAATAAGTTTGAAACAACACAGAATTATTTTTTCAACAAAAAATGAAAACTGAAAAGACACGTTTGAACGATCATTTGAGACTGAAGACTTAACACACTAATAATGCTCTAATCATGAACAGAAGTTGTTGGAATGAACTGTACACGTATGTTTTGATGAATTTGAAGATATGACATAAAATTTTAATGTCAACTATATTTACAACCGGTAGCCATTTAACAATGAAAATTGATATATACCAAGTATGAGCCCCATCATCAAGATCCATCACATATTGTATTGCTTTTCCTTAGGTTATCTGTTATTTATTTTTAAGAGACTACGATGCAGAATGAAGCCACAAAGTAATATTCAGACATGAAAAAAGTTTTTATATAAATGAATTTGAGTTTAAAATTTACCCTTTGAATGAGTTACATATAATTGAAACTAAAGTAAAGTTCATGTCAATGATTGCTCGTGAATCCTAAGATTATACAAGTTGACCAATACATAATATATTTAGAGCTGACTGAGATTTAATCTTATATAGTCTATCTTAAGTCAATAAAATTAAGAATAATGAATATAAAAAGAAAATAAAGCATATCGGAATAAAAGAACGGTACTGTACTTGGATGTTGTTCAACAGCATAGCCCGGATATGGCGTATAAATCTGGGACCTTCTTACCATTATGTAGATCTAAGTAACAATGTAATATTGAGAAATGGACAGAAGCCCTCCAGGACAAAAGCCTTCCCGTCCAAAAATGACATAGATTTGCTATAACGTAGTTATATGATATAAAATATCGTAGAATTACCAGGCGTGTTATAATTGCCTATAATATCCTTATGAAATGATTTGCTGTGATTGTATATACGTGTATTAATGTATTTCAAAAGCAATAAACATTTTACCACAAACAGAATGACGGTTACAAATAGTATATAAGAAATGTATGTAGTAACTGAATGTAAATTATTTTTACAATAACATCTTTATATTGTTAAGAACACATATACATTGTATTTCAATATATGTTTGTAAATAATAGTATGCTATGTATAACAAAATCAGTATATGAAAACAATCAATTATTCGTTCTATCACGTAATACATTTGCGAAGTAGATATACTTTGATAATCTGTTAACAATTCCATGCTTAGAATTTTTCATTAAAAATATATATTTATTTAAAGTAGGCCAAGAGCAATAGTTCTTTCCCTATAAAATGGACAAACCGGTAAAAATGATATTCTGTTTCAATTTCATTTATGTTACATTTTAAACAAATTCTCTGATCTCTGTCAATATTCATACAAAACTCGTACGTGTACAAATGTTTGCATTTTTTCCTTTAATTCATTTATCAATTTGCTTAATTTTTTGGTAAATGGTACTTATTTAACTTTCTATCTTATGTTTCCAGGCAAAGTAAAAAAATGAACATATTAATGTAGAAAAACTATTATTATTAGTTATAAATATTTTTGACAGGTTATATGGCCCTATATAAACGGTTGTTTGTAAATATAACCTGAGCCGCCAGGCGAGGGTTATATTCCAAACAACCGTTTATATACGGCCATTTAACCTGTCAAAAATATTTATAACGAATTTATAATACAGTAAGCATCATTTTTAGAGGATTAAAGCGCGATTTCTTCATAAATCGATAGCAGCCGTGTATATAAAACTATAAATACGTCACGATTATCCAATGAAAAGCGATGTTACAAACGTGCAGTATTATTATAAATACTGTTATAAAGTAGAATTACGTGGAAGATGGTACAGGTGTTATCTGTCAGGTTTTTATTGACATAAGATATGATATTGTATATTACAGATGTTATGTGTCAGGTTTTAATGGACATAAGATACGATATATTATATTACAGGTGTTATGTACCAGGTTTTTATTGACATAATAGACGATATTGTATATTACAGATGTTATGTGTCAGGTTTTAATGACCATTAGACACGATATTGTATATTACAGATGTTATGTGTCAGGTTTTGTGCCCTGTCCTGATTTTGTTTGGGGTCCTCCTGGGCTCCTTGCCACTGACTTTTGTTGCTAGGTCGGGTGGGGGCTGTGTTCATTGAACGCCGCCTTTCCTTGATGATCTTGTTTATCATATTTAATGGACATAATAGACGATATTGTATATTACAGGTGTTATGCGTCAGGTTTTTATTGACATAAGATAGGATAATGTATATAACAGGTGTTATGTGTCAGGTTTTATTGACATAAGATAAGATATTGTATGTTACAAACGTTATGTGTCACATTTTTATTGAGATAAGATACGATATTGTATGTTACAGATGTTATGTGTCAGGTTTTTATTGGCATAAGATACGATATTGTATATTACAGATGTTATGTGTCAGGTTTTTATTGACATAAGATACGATATTGTATATTACAGATGTTATGCGCCAGGTTTTTATTGACATAAGATACGATATTGTATATTACAGATGTTATGTGTCAGGTATGTCTCTAGAGAGAACTGTAACTATGGTAACCTGTACATCAACGCTTACAAACGTGACGGAAACTTTCACATATAATTCATCAACACATGCGAACGTGACAGGTTGTGATATATATAATGTTACAGTAGGACCTCCAGTAGACGCTGTAGTAGAATATTGGGAGTACGTTTACTTATAAACTAAGATCCAACAAGAAGTATTCAATTTGCTCGTACAGTGTAAAATAAAAAAAAATGTTTGACCCTTTTAATAGAACTTGCAAAGTAGATTTTTTATTACATGTAAAATTTTATTTTATTTGTCGTGTTTGTTGTTAGTTATTTCCTTGTGTCAGATCTTTCGTTTGATGTTACATTTTTGTATGTAACATATATTTACATTCATGGCATATGTTTGTACGTACGTTTGTTGTGTATGGCTATGTATTTCTCTGTATTTATGTTATGTATGTAATAGAGATGGACGACCTTACAGTTAAAGCAGTTTACGAAGGTTATACTCGGGTAGTCGTTCGAGCCTGTCACCTAAGGTCTTCCACCAGCAGTCAAACAATAAACCTGGAGAATTTTTTGGCAACGTAATCCACCAAACACCCCTCTATTTCTCCGCACTAAAAAAAAAAGAATCGTGCACGTTTGAATGATGAAATGTTGTATCATTACTAACAAATGAATTGTACATGTAAACTCGTTGGCAAAGTAAGTTTGTGTCTTTTCCTGGCATATTTTCAGGAGAAAAGTACTGAACATGTCAAGTGGAATACAAGAACCAGGTTCATTAGTTCCAGGACTAGCTGTTGCCCTCCTCGTTGCTTGGATTTTGGTTTATATCTGTATATGTCGAGGTGTAAGGTGGACTGGAAAGGTTCATTTATTATCATTTTAAATGTCTCCCCATACATTTAATAAAAGATGTTAAATTTTCGACCCTTGAAAATCGTTCAGCATGACATAACTGTTGTGTATACATGTTATGTGGTATTTTTTGGCCTTTTTCAACTTGGGTGGTTCCAGTAATCCTACTTGAGTACTGTATAATCACCCTTAGGGTAAGTTGCCTGCTTTTTAAATGTGCCTTTTGACGTTTTATCTATGATATGCAGGCTTCATAACCTCTGATCCCCTTTCAAAATTCCATTTTATTTAGTTCCGCCCTTTGTTTTCTCGTTTAAGGCACACGCATTGTTTTACTTGGGGACCATACGCCGCTTGTCATGGAATGGCACGGAAGTGTCACATTGAAGGTTCCATGATAACTGCCGTATGAACACATCTGCGGATGTTTCTAAATTCAAAATTTCACCATTACCATGATTAAATGTTGAATTATGCTTAAGCTGGTGCTAGGGGCGTGGACGGTAACTTGCACTTACCAGTACCGTCCATGAACAGGTTTAATCAAACTGAGCCTGCAACATTTTCAATTTTGCCGTGCGATCCAGGCAAAGCCTCGGCAAAACCAAGGACGATCCCGGCAGAGCCCCGGTAGAACACTGGTGGATTGAAAACGCGCGGAAATGATGACGTTGATACGTAATTTTCATTTAATATATTTGTGTCAATTTTAAATGATATTTCTCCTATCTCAAATGTTATTCATGATGATTTTCTGAATATGTCTTATGCAAGACTGGACAGAAGGGAAATGTGGAAGGGTTTTAAAACAAACAAGTGCAATCATCGCAAATTGCCATGATTCTTTTGAAATTAACCGGGCTTTGTCGGGGCTTTACCTGGATCAAACGTAGCTCTATCGTCATCCTCCGGGGCTCTGTCGGCATTCACCGGGGCTCAACCGTAGCTTTACAGGCTTATTTATACCCCGGATCATCCCCGATTTGTAACCTATCTAAAATATGAAACCGTTTTAGAATTATTTCTTTATATGTTTCTATTGTACTATTGTTTCTATATGTTACAGGATTATATATCGAGAACCATTTGATTGTTATAGATTGTGTATATCACCGCCATTGCTCCGTACATCCTGCTTACGATTATCTTTATCCGGGGAGTTACATTAAAGGGATCAGGGACTGGTCTAATATATTATCTTAAACCAAACTTTAGTCGTCTCGCTGACGGTCAGGTATGGATGGATGGAGGAACTCAGGTCATTTACTCGATTGGTGTTGGACAAGGTTTTATGATAACGCTTGGAAGTTACAATAACTTCAAGACAAATTGCGTGAGGTATTAGTTATTCTTCGTTTATATTTTGCAATGATTTAAGCAAAATATACTGTATACAACACTTACGCTTCCAAAATCTAAACAAATGACAATGACATAAACATGATGAATCAATCAGAAACAGAATTAAACAATAATGAAATTATAGATAAAAGAAAATTTCAGTAATTTATAGAAAAAAAATATATAATTTAACATGCATGTGAATCATGTATCATTGTCCAATGCTTACTCTGCTATCTAAAGGTAGTTATTTAATAGTATGTAACAGCAAGCGACTTGAGCAAAATGTGATTGCACTATTTGCTGAAGTCTGTCATCAAGTCAACAATTGTACTGAATGTAAGTAAAAGGTCTAAAAGTGATTAACTTATAAATCTTGACAAAACAAAAACAAGATAGAACAAGAGCACTGCTAGGCGGAGCATTATATGCCCGAAAGTGTTTTGTTTTTTTAGTAAAAATGAAATTTGTAAGACATGGGAATAAAATAAAGTATTACCTCCTTCAAACAGCAATCCTCCTATGAAGTTTGAATATTGTGGGCCAAATGTAACTTAAGTTATGCTCCGGAAACTGTTTTCAGTTTTAAGGTAATAGTGACCTTTAACTTTGACGTTGTGACCCCAAAATCAATAGGGGTGTTCTACTCAATATAGACAATCATCCTATGTATGAAGTTTGAACACTGTGGGCCAAATGGAACATAAGTTAGAGTATGGAAACTGTTTTCAGTTTTAAAGTAATAATGACCTTGACGTTTGACCTTGTGGCCCCAAAATCAATAGGGGTGTTCTACACAATATGGACAATCATCCTATGAAGTTTGAACACTGTGGGTCAAATGGAACTTAAGTTATGTTCTGGAAACTGTTTTAAGTTTTAAGGTAATAGTGACATTGACCTTTGACCTTGTGACACCAAAATCATTAGGGGTCTTCTACACAATATGGACAATCATCCTATGAAGTTTGAATATTGTGGGCCAAATGGAACTTAAGTTATGCTCCGGAAACTGTTTTCAGTTTAAAGGTGATAGTAGCCTTGACCTTTGAAGATCGTTCAGCACGACATTATTGTTGTGTATACATGTTATGTGGTACTTTTAATTTCTTCTATTGGGCCATTTTCAACTTGGGTGGTTCCAGTATTCCTACTTGAATACTGTATAATCACCCTTAGGATATGTTGCCTGCTTTTTAAATTTGTCTTTTGACGTCTTATCTGTGATATGCAGGCTTCATAACCTCAGATCCCCTTTCAAAATTCCATTTTATTTAGTTCCGCCCATTGTTTTCTCGTTTAGGGCAAAAGCATTCTTTTACTTGGGGACCATACGCCGCTTTTCATGGAATGGCACTACTGTGTCACATTGAAGGTTCCATGATAACCGCCGTATGAACACATCTGCGGATGTTTCTAAATTCAAAATTTCACCATTTTCGTGTTAAATGTTGAATTCTGCTTAAGCCGGTGCTAGGGGGCGTGGACGGTAACTTGCACTTTACAGTACCGTCCATGAACAGGCTCAATCAAACCGAGCCTGCAACATTTTCAATTTTGTTGTGTTGGACTTTCTTTAGGGATTCTGTTTTTCTCTATTTTATTGTCACATCCGTGTTATTTGTGCCGTGTGGCGGCTGTAAAAAGTCTCCCCGTACATTTAATCAATGATGTTTATTTCGATCCTTGAAGATCGTTCAGCACGACATTATTGTTGTGTATACATGTAATGTGGTACTTTTAGTTTCTTCTATTGGGCCATTTTCAACTTGGGTGGTTCCAGTATTCCTACTTGAATACTGTATAATCACCCTTAGGATATGTTGCCTGCTTTTTATATTTGTCTTTTGACGTCCTATCTATGATATGCAGGCTTCATAACCTCAGATCCCCTTTCAAAATTCCATTTTATTTAGTTTCACCCATTGTTTTCTTGTTTAGGGCAAAAGCTTTCTTTTACTTTGGGACCATACGCCGCTTTTCATGGAATGGCACTACTGTGTCACATTGAAGGTTCCATGATAACCGCCGTATGAACACATCTGCGGATGTTTCTAAATTCAAAATTTCACCATTTTCGTGTTAAATGTTGAATTCTGCTTAAGCCGGTGCTAGGGGGTGTGGACGGTAACTTGCACTTTACAATACCGTCCATGAACACGCTCAATCAAACCGAGCCTGCAACATTTTCAATTTTGTTGTGTTGGACTTTCTTTAGGGATTCTGTTTTTCTCTATTTTGACATTGTGACTCCAAAATCAATAGGGGTCTTCTTCTTAATATGGACAATCATATTATGAAGTTTGAACACTGTTGGCCAAATGGAACTTAAGTTATGCTCCGGAAACTGTTTTAAGTTTTAAGGTAATAGTGACCTTGACCTTTGATCTTGTGATCCCAAAATCAATAGGGGTTTGAATATTGTTGGCCAAATGGAACTTAAGTACTGCTCAAAAAAACCATTTTGCTAACGGACGGACGGACGTACGTCCGGACAGACAGACGGACAGACGCCAGGGGGTATAACACAATATGCTCGAAATTCTTTCGGGCATATAAAAAGGATATTTCAAGTATCAAACAGGAAGGTAAAAGTCTTCGATCTACCACAACTGATTTATTGTAAGAATGGAGTTGCTTGCCAATCGTTATTTACCACTAAGAAAACACTTTACATTTGATGTTATCCGGAACTCGGCAAATGTAGGTTTTTCCATGCTAATCCCCCGGTACAAACAAGCTTTTATCGTTATAGCTTCATTGTGCATTATCGGTTACAATAGTCAACCTGTTGGGCTTAATATCGAATATAAGAATAAGCTGGGGGAAAAACAAACATTCTTAATTCCAGAGTCGGAGTAAATCTATTTTATAACATTTTTATGCTACTAACATACATGTACATATTTGTATGTTTATAATAATAATTTATATAATATCATTTTTGTTATTTTAGGAATGGACTTGTTATCATATTTATAAATTGTCTTACAAGTCTTTTTGGAGGTCTAGCTGTCTTTTCCATTTTGGGATTTATGTCATATGAAATGAAAATTCCGATTGAGAAAGCTGTTTCACAAGGTATGTAATTGTACGTGTTTTTTTTTTCATGACTTCCTAAACAATGTAACAAGTGTGTTTAGTAATAATGAATTTAAGTTTCTAATATGGAATTTTATTTAGATGACAATTGAATATAAATTGGTGTCCAATGGAAAGCTAAATAAGTATTTGGCGAACACAATAATATGAAAATAAATTATGAGTCGTCATTGCACATTACAAGCTTAAAGCATTCATATACAATTAAAATAAGTAACATTTGTAAATGTATCAGGATAAACAAACTTTACAATAACCTTTAATTTTCACTTAATATGTAATTAGAAAATGTCAGTAAAGTAGAAATGCAAATAAGTAGAAATGATTTGTTTGACCATTTGGAACACAAATTTTCAAAGGAAATGTATTAACGATATTTTCAGGCCCAGGTTTAGTGTTTTTGGCGTATCCAAAGGCTGTTACACAGATGCCAATATCTCCTCTATGGTCAGTCTTGTTCTTCCTTACAATACTGTTTGTAGGACTGGACAGTGCGGTAATATAAAAACACATTTTATATTTATTTTTAAGCATACATTTTGACTACACATGTTAGGAAATGTAAAAAACATGAAGTGCATTTAATCTATTCGTAATGAATTTTCTTCTTGCTGAGAGACTTAATTTTCATTTTTTTTAAATGTATAGCAACTATTTTGATTTCGAAATGTTAAACCTTCTGATGTACCATTTTAGAATATGAAGAATAATTAAACTTAAATTGATATTTTGTGTATGTCAAATCGTATATATTTTCAACAAGATTTATATAAACCCTTATCTCGTTAAATATCTTAAATGACTTTGTCCATCTTTCATTCTTGTCAAAACCATACATTCTTTTATAGGAAAATTTTCTTAATAAAAACTGACCCAACAGGGAACAGAAAACAATACCAGCCATTATCAGACAACACTTATGTGCCGGCTGATCATGGTCCGCTTTATAAATTATGCTTTGCTTTGAGTATTGTTAGCTCAGATTTACTCATTTACTCACACACAAACACACACAAGCACACGCACACACACACACACTCTCACACACACAATTAAAAAAATAATTTGAAAGTGTACACTATGCCGCGGAAACAACTCAAAATTGTATACATGTTTCTTGGACGCAAACAGGCATTTGATCATACGTGGACAACGCTTCTACTTGTAAAATTATACAAAACTGGGATAGACATAACACTTTCCAAAACTATCCGAACATTTTTCGAAGATTGTTTCAGCTGCGTTAAAACTAACGACATTACATCACAATGGTTCAAAATACAACAGAGCACTCGTCAAGGCCATTGCAGCAGTCCTCATCTTTATATAGTTTTCATTAATGACTTAATTAATCAATTAGACGCTTGTAACTACAGCTTTAAACTAAACAATATTATATGTAGTTGTCCGACGTCAGCAGACGACAGGGTGATACTTTCTTTCAAATGTTAAAAGTGGTCTAGATAAACTATTAAATCTGTGTCATGAAAATTCAACAAAAGAACCTTATTTTTACAATTCCTCTATATGTAAAGTAGTAGTTTTTAATGAATATAGTTCATGCAGCAGAAAATTGTCAATGGCCGGAGAGGAAATCACAGAAGCAGACGAGTATTTACTACATCTAAAAAGACCTTTTTTGTATCTTTCACAACAGTCTAAACCCATTAACATCAAAGAAAGTGTACAAACTTGTTGTCCTCCCAAAAGCCCTATACGGCTGTGAGTTATGGAGCGGCGTTACAGAAAACCAGCTTCTACCGCTAGAGCGAGCACATAGACAATGTATCAAAACAATGCAATCTGCACCTATATATACACGTACAGATAAAGACTTAAGCTCTTTGGGAATCTATCCGGTGATGAATATAATAGATCAGAGAAAACTGATATTTTTGTGTCAACTATGTCACGCCCATGCAAGATTCAAGGTGAAACAGGCGTTTATAAATAGACAATTAGTATGTATTTGGCATAGCACCTCAAATCTAAAGGTTTTTACCCTAGAATATTTAAGATCCTTATCAAATATAATCTTTCATCTTTTTTCTAGACTTTCACACAACAGGATATTTTCCCGACAAAATAGTGTGGAAAAGAAAAGTTAAACGAGCAATACAGAAAGAGAATGGTTTAGAAAGGCTAGCTAACGATAGCACAATGCAACACTATAATTATATTGATACATTCAAAGTATGAACCTAGTTGCCTCTGGATATTTTGTATTTTTCGCGAGGCAATACGACAAAGCATGCTTTAAATGCAAGCTAGTCGTAAAGAACTTCGCGATCATTGACGTATTTCACTGTGGAAATAATGAGAATGAAAGATTTATGAGTTACTTGGAATGGATAACTATATGGAGTTTTGTATATAGAGCGCAGACAATCAATTACTTGAAATGTTCAGCGGTTTTGTTTCATTTAATGTGATAGACGAAACAAAAAATCAATCTTATATCTCTTTTATAAAATTCATTGATAATGATAAACTAATTAATTGATAGATTATATAATGATATTTTTCTTGACATTTTACTATTTATCAATATTATGATTTACATAAGTGTAAAAAATAGATAAATACATTATATCAATGTTTGTATATATTTAAATATCTATAATATTTCATACTGTTTCCATAGTTCTTCTGTAATTATTAACATTGTAATTAAATATTTTACTTGTTCCATTATAATTGTATAATTATAAAAATGTGCTCTTCTTTTGGAGGAAATTAAGATATTATTTTATATTTCCACATCTCTTTTATTTAAACCTAAAAATATTATATTGAATTATTAGATTCAAAGTTAATCAATCATTAATTAAATTACTTTTAACTGCAAACAGTATTTGTAATTGTTCCTATTGACATTAATTTCCCGTAGAGGAGGTATAATGATAAAATTATAAAATAAAAGAGGGTTTTCATTTTAAAAAAAATGATATCAAATAAAAGGGAGTCATTACATCAGAGGCTCACAATTTATCGCCAGTGTTATTTTGTGTGTGGGGGAAGGTAAAATACTTTGACCGGTTAATATTATTATGACCGGGGAGCCAATATTGGCATTCTTTAAAAAAAGAAAATAACATTGATTTGGGATAACAATTCTACAAGGGTCGCTTTTCTTCGTTACAGCGGTAGCAGGTTAACGGAAGTAGAACTAAATGATACTTCATTTTATTTAGAGCATTTTGAATAATAATAATCTTTACAGCATGAAAATATCTTATTGTATAGTTTGCTGCAGTAGAAGCCTTCTTGACACCGATTATAGACAAGTTTCCTAAAGTTCTTTATAAACCTAGAAATCGTATGATATTTGTGGGGATATATTGCTTCATATGTTTCCTGCTAGGATTATCTATGGTCACGCAGGTAAGTCTCTTTGATCTTCTCCTTTGTTTATTCATTGTCACGCAAGTTAGTCGATGTGATTTTGTAGTACGTGTGTTATCCATGGTTACATCATGAAATCACCGAGAGTATCTGCCTTGTTTGTACTCGCAAGTTCAATACTGTAAATTCGTCTAGTTATCCCGCAAGTATCTCACTATGATTATATACTTTTGATATCTGTGGGAATCGATAGATTAACATTTTATTTGTCTATCATTCATTGATAATAAAGACTATATAATTCCATGAGAAATTCATAAATCGTTTACATCAAGAATTATTTATGATAGTAGCAAGTGTAACAATTAAAATGCATTTCTCGTCGTTTCCTAACTCAGAAAAAATGCTAGAAAAGTAAGAGTTACAACAAAGAAAACAACATTATGACTTACTGGAAATGAAAAACAAAAGTTTATTCTGAGACGCTCTGTCAACTATGTACATGTAAGATAGTTGGTAATTTGATGCTATTATTTTTTATCTTCAGGGCGGGGTTTACTTGTTTCGTCTGATAGATTACTACTGTGTTAGCGGTCTAGTTCTTCTTGCTATGGTATTTTCCGAGACTATTGCAATAGGATGGGTGTTTGGTATGCCAGTTTTAACATACATATGAAGTGTCTATTATTTCTATTTTAGCGTGATTGCTGTACTTATGTCCAAATCATATTAATAGAAAGTAAATATGTTCGTATGTTTTATGATTCATTTATTAAATAAAAATGTTTTTAATAGTCACCCTAGGTAAAAAAGCAAGACAGAGGTTATGCTTAAAGAATGCCTATAAGATCAGTATAACTTTGAATATAAAAAGCGTATTTAAGTATTTTAGGAATGAATTGTTCAGATCAACATGATACTCATATAACATTGATATGGTGACAAGCATGCTATTAATTGTGAGTACATCGTAGTTTAATACTAAAATCTAGAAGTCCGACGCGAAAACCCAAATAAGATAGTTTTATTGTGCTGTAGAGACAAATACGTAAAAATCAAATATATCATCCGCGCCCACTATTCCAGCTTTAGTAAAAATAAAACGTGTCTGGTGGAATAATACTGATGTTGCTTTTTCTGTTTTTACAAAAAAAGTTAAAAATAAATTGTACCTTCCAGGGGCAGATCGATTTTATGACGCTCTGGAAATGATGATTGGCTATCGATGTGGACCGTGGCTGAAAATATCTTGGAAATTCTTGGCTCCATTAGTAATTAATGTAAGCAAATTGTTTAATAAAGCCAAAAACAGAAATAGTAGTCAGTTATTCTCAAACTGTAATTAACCTCAAACGTTGGATGTATTTGTAAGAGAGGAACAAATATACAACTCATTCAAGACGTAGCTGAATAGTTCACATATCAGGTAATCTCAGGGTTACTGGTGGCAGGGGTTGAATCCCATCATGCGCATATTGTTGTTTTCGTGATAAAGAAACTTTACTTTTACTGCTTAGTGCTGATTGTTGTTTCAACACAATCGGGATAATGTATAACTAAACGTCATCTATAACATGCTGGACTTGAAAGTGATTTGCTGTTGCAATCAATATAGAGTCAGACAAGCCTTAACATATGTGCTGTTTGACCAGTCCCTATAATGGCGGTAGCCAAGAGTTTTACAGTAAATAACAACACAGCAAAATAATTACATAGTGATTGGTTATTACTATTAAGTTATTACAAGTTTGACAATCAGTCTTATACTATGGTATCATTTTAACCAGAACTTAGATGCAATTTTTAATAATAATTATATTATACTCAAAACGTAGTACCAAAGTATATCAGAGTGATCATAATCTTATTAAACTGATTACTACATGTACAATCTAGAATTATTTAAATGATTTATCTTTGTGTCATGTTCATTAACATTATGACATACCCTAATATTATCTGCATTCTAAGTTCTGAGTTAGTAAAAAAACAGCATCGAAACAGGAGGCTATGTGATTTGTACGAGGGGGCGTAGCACCCTCTCCTCCCGAGTATAAATCCGATTGTCTAGTGCTTTGATGTTTTTTCTCTATTTTATCAGAGAAAAAAATAAAGACACATTCCCTGTTATGACAATATGAAAACCAAGAAAAAAGTAACAAATGAACGAGCATCTATATATGACTTTTCTATTATTATCCCTTTCCCTGTCGTCACAATAAATAACCAGCAGATAAACGTACACAATCAATGGGTATGTTCTGCAGTGCAGGTAACTTTATACGCTCTGTGCATGAAATTGTAGACGATTTAACTCTCAGAAAGGTCCCCAAACTATGATGCAACAATTGAATGTATACACATTAAACATGTAGTACTTGGTAATGATACATTCACCATTAGTTGTACATTTCAGGGTATATTCTGGTTCCAGTTGGTGCAGTTTAGACCTCTAACATTTGATGATACCTATGAATATCCGACTGGTGCAACAGTTTTTGGTTTTATTTTCACCTTATCATCAATCTCGTGTGTTCCTATAGCAGCAGTTTATTATATCGCTACAGCAAAAGGTTCACTGAAACAGGTTAGTGTTAATGCACTCACAGATAAATAAAAACAAATGTTTGGCAATACTTCTAATCCAAATGAATAATTTTGATTTGAATATAAACTTGCACGCTAGGTGCAATATCTAAATATTCAAACACATTTTACTTTAAATTTTAGAGACTTCAAAAAGTGACAACTCCATTGCTTAAGAAACACCAGGTAGACCCGAGATGGAAGGAGTCAGATTACAAATGGAAACTGGAAGAATATAAAATACACGATGTAAATAATCCATTTACTATAGATGATGAGATCAATATAAACTAAACATTGAGAAGGACTTAGACATATTTTGTTTAAAGGGAGACACATGCAAAATTTTAATTTCTTCGTTTTTGTATTTTTCATTCATTAGTCTGTAAATGTCCTCAAAACAAATACACTGGGCAGTCACAGGAACAAAACTTTTAAAGAAGATGTCAAATGAACGCCTTAGACTTGTTTCAATCATGCAATATCTATTGTAACTTCCAGGATTTGTTCAAGTCACATGACTTGTTTTAAAACTACTGGGTGATTCAGTCGGTGTCTAAATTTCGTTCAACATAAATAGATATATTTACACTTAAAACCCAAAATATATAGAATGTATACAGAAATTCAAGCTGGGACTTAAAAAATAATGTAATTCTAGCGTGATTTGAGTACATAGGATGATTTTTAATATTTTTGTCATTAATTTGCCTCAGTATCCCTTTATGCATTACAAACAGTATAGACATTTTGTATCATGAATGTTTGAGAAATGTATAATGTTAATTCATACATTTACGCGAAAACCCACACATTTAAATTGTTCATGATATGATTATTCTTAAAAGTAATTTATGCTAAGTTGGCTGTTAGGAATACTGTCCATTTTGAATTATATGCTAAGCATAAAACGCATTCATCTTATGACAATGACAAAAGTACCTGCAAAACTATCATGGTAGGTACCTGATATATACATGTGTAAATTGTTCTAGAATATTTTTGTTTTGTAGATTTTGATATACGACAATATTCTGAACATGGTACAGACTATAACGGTGTTGATCTTGTTTTCGTCATTTTTATGTTAAATTGTAAAATAGGAAAAGTTAATTCAGGACTTATTGCATTTTTCTTATATTCAACTGTAAACACGAGAGGCAAGTTCAATTACCGCTATAGTTCGGCGCCAAAAATAAAACCACATAGCAAAGACCTTGTAAAATTGGAACAAAGAAAAAGTTCAAACTTGGCTAATTTCGACCAACACCACCAGCACTTCCCGGGATATGGGGAGTCAGGTTACAAATGGCTAGTTAATGAAACCCATAATAATATAAAATTCTTTTTCTCACTTTCTTTATTTTCTAACGAACTATTTTGATATGTACATGTGATTGATTGATTGCTTTATTTGTGTATATATATATGTCATATTACAAAAAAACAAATTAAGACAATTTATCACAGTTATATCTATCACATTGTTTTTAACACAGTAATTAATTGAAAAATAATAACTTTACATTCATAATTAAATCAAAGATCTTGTTGACTTCAAGACAATATATACAACACAGGATAACCCATGAAAGTTCAATATAAAATAGAGAACTTATTTCCAATGGGGTCCTTTGATGGTAAAGAATATATTTTCTTGAGAACTGGCATTCAGGTCCATACTAAGAGATGATATACTGGACTGATGTTAAATTTCTAAGATCAAATAATATTAATTTCTATTGCACATTATGTTAATTACATATATCACATAATTGCAGGAATAATACTATGAATATGACTAGTTAACAACCAATGAAAGATATCTATTTATATATATCACAAAACCAATCACAAGATACATATAAAACATACTATATTGATTAAAACAATTATCTCTAAAACTAATAAAAAATAAAATCAGCTTGTTCAAATTGTTTCATATTTTTGCTTAGTTCAGCTTTTACTTTCTTTTTAAAGTTAAAAAAGTTACTTTCCTTTTTAATATCAAGTGGGAGCATGTTTCAATCCCTAATACCCTGGTAAAAAAATGTACTTTTTGTAAAACTATTAACATGGGGTATATGAAAGTTCCCGACACTGTTTCTACTATTATAACAATGAACATCAGACTTTAAAGAAAAGTTATCATACATATAAGATGGACACTTTTTATTAAATATTTTGTGTACATGATTAAGTCTTAACTGCATGACTCTATTTTCTATATTAAGCCACCCAATACTGCTAAAATCAATAACTTTCAATGATTTTCTAGAGGAATAACCATGAATATAACGAACAACTTTGTTTTGTGCTACTTGAAGTTTATGTTTAAGTTGTTTAGTAAGGCCACTATACCAAGATGAGCTGGCATAATCGAAGTGATACTGTATTAAATAGTTACATAATAGTTTTCTTAGCTCCATATTCAAACTGTTGCCTTGTCTGTACAACAATTTTAATCGAGAGTTTACTTTTTGTACTATATTATCAACAATAGAAGTGGCTGAGAGATCATTATCCAAGATAGAACCGAGATACTTTACTGATGGCTGAGATTGTATGGTGTGATTATTACAGTGTATTTTAAACTGCTCTAGTTTTGACAATTTCCTCTTAGAACTAAAAACAATACATTCTGTTTTACCAAGATGTAATGATAGCTTATTATCAACAAGCCATTTACTACAATTTTCTAGTTCCTTACCCAAAACATTACAAATAACATCTGGATCTTTATGTGAATATAAAATTGCACTATCATCTGCATAAAGAATAAGCTTACATTTTTTGCTAATACTAATACTCATATCATTGACATAACATAGAAACAATAGAGGACCCAATATACTTCCCTGAGGAACACCACATGTAATATTCATAGCTTCGGACATAGTATTATTTACATTTACAATTTGACTACGACCAGTTAAATAAGATTGAAACCATTCTACTGACTCCACACCCATTTTTTGTAACTTTCTACACAAGATGTCATGGCCCACAGTGTCAAACGCCTTTTGTAAATCTAACATAATCATACCGGTGAGCAGTCCTTTAGAAGTTTGACTTTTTACATGGTCAGTGAGATGGATTAGGCAGGAGTCAGTAGAATAATTACATCTAAAACCACTTTGTAATTCATATAATAGTCCCTGCTTAACTAAAAAATTTTCTAACTGATTATATACAGTTCTTTCTAAGATTTTTGAAACAATAGATAAAATACTGACAGGTCTATAGTTGGAAACATCAGATCTGTTATTCTTTTTGATTAATGGTTTGACTTTAGCACATTTCAGTTCATTTGGAACTGATTTAGATGTAATAGAATTATTCACTAAAAAGGTAATATGTATCTTTAAAAATGGTGCAGCGTCTTTAAGAAATTTTGCTGGAATTTCATCTAATCCTGTGCTTTTAGAACAATTTAATTTACAAAGCTCTTTATATATATATTCTTCACTAACAGTATGTAATTGAAATTTATTTCCATCTGGATTTCTGTTCTTATAGAATTCTTTAAAGATGTGCGATATTTTAATGCCAAGTCCCCTGTTGGCATAATAAATTCATGAATTCCCAAATACCATGAAGACTATTAATGGTAATACCGTTAATAATTGCTATAATCATTTCCAATTTAAGCAGTTTTAATATGGGGAAATCACTTTTTGTTGTTGTTGTTGCTCTGTTTTGTTGTTTGTAACTCTCAGCTTTATATTTACTACAGTTATAACACTGGAAACAGCATTGCTAACACTATACAAAAACAAAAACAAATTGGTTTATAATCTGACAACCTTCACCTTTCCCAAACAAATTCAGCGTCTCTGTGCTTTGATTTTCTTCTGTTTCCGACAAAATAAAATAACTTCCGAGTTGCGCATTCAAGTTCACTACAACTTTATTTTTTATAGTGCAGTAAAATATCGCCTGTTAAGATGCAAGATTGACCGACATTTTGAAGAATAAGGAGAGCTATTGTACACACCCAGACGTCGGTGTCTCAAAAACTACTGACAGGAATGAGTTAAAACTGCACATACTTATTTGGGAGCATTATAGGAGGTCACTATTCAAGACCTATAACTAAAATTTAGATTTGATAGAATTATGGCCCTTTGTGAACCTAGAAAATTCTACATTATCTAGGCTCTTGTTTTATCATCAAGCACTGCAAAAAGTCAAGCTTCTCTTTCGAATAATTGTTACTATATTCACTGGTACTGTAAATTAAGCTACAGTTCTCGAAATAATCATGCGAAAAATAAGCATTTTTTTTTATATTATGATTCTCTCGAATGTTAAAGTTAAGCATGAGACTGGTCCACATGAGAATGTAAAATCTCACTACTTTATCTATAAAATACAATATGGCGACGCAACATTTAGAAAATATTGCATGTCAATAGGTATCATTTATTTCAGCTGCACTAAATCCACGTAATCCGCGTGGAAGGTTGTTTAAATGTGTCTTCTTACAGACGTTAGAAGACAGTTTTGAATAGCTCTGCTTAGGTTATAATCGTATAAATTCGTTTAATTGGCAATTTGTAGTTAAGGCTAGTGTAGCTTATTCAGGCTTGCACACAATTTCCTTTTCAAATGTACTTACGAGTATGTGGTTGAATTGCAAATTTACAAATATACGAACATAAAATGATATTGAAAATATAAACATAAAGTTCGCTAGCAGAAAAATAATTTCATTACAATAATAAAGTTTATATTTTTCTTTAATTAGCGCTTAAAATTTGGTATACGATGTTTTACACACTTAACCAATCTCGAATCAGAGTTTACATGGCCGCATTCGACAAGGCGTTGTCAGTTTTACCTTTTACAGGTCCATGCACTTGTAAGTGTTAATACATTGGTTATCATTGACCCTAGGGCTACAATTTAACAATGTTGTCGCGGTCTGTATATAAAAGGTCTATGCTTGCAGTATTAAGGCTTTAATTTTTTTCTTTAAATTTCTGTTCAAATTTAGTGATCTATTTAGTGCAACGAGCTTTGACCCCAGGTTCATGATTAGGATAATATTGTTAGTGGTCCGCCAGTCAATATAAACCAACTATCTATTAAGAAAAACGGACGATTGCCCTTTGGTCGGTCATGTACAGTTCTATTTAGGGGGAGCTGTTGTTCTAAATGGACAAAATATCATATTAAAAGCTCACAGATATTCAATCTGATGAACTCCAAACTTTGCAACACCTTAAATGTATTTATTCAATACGATGAATTCTTTTAGTAGCTAATCCCATGACTTAAAGACGTTAGCTACGTTATCAGAGAGCTTTGTAACAACGCACTTTGGGGTCAAAGTTTGACGTTAAACAGGTACATATGTATTTTTGAACATCAGACAAACGACCACACTTTGGGATCATGATAATTAAATCAATAAAAATGAATTTAAGTGATAATTTAAGATAATATCTTGTAGTTGATGTAAATTTTAAACTAAAAATAAGGACTTGTGACAAGTCATTAAAACAGAAAAAAATGCACTGACATTAACTGCATTTTATTACATCCCATTCATATTTTAAAATGGGTTCAATATGGCACTAAAGGTTATCAAGTAAATGGCTGATAGAACAGGATATTTTTCGAAGCATCTTTTATTTTCTAGGAACCCATTCACAATTTCAGTACTATAATAGTTTGTTATATTTTTAGATATTTCAAGTGGTAAAATTAATAAAACATTTACCACTTAAGCAACAAACACATATTTTTATTACTGCTACACTAGAATTTACAGGACACTTAGTAAGATAGATGTATACAAGTATTGACCTTCATCTTGAACTCCACCTCAAATATTTCAATGTCGCAGATCGAAAATAACTCAGTACTCAGTATTTAAGTAGAACTCAGTTGACACCTTCAGAACTCTGGAACCCAAAGTGCGTTGATATGTAGCATTTACCGCACTTTGGGGTCAATTTCTCGAGTTCGACCCAAAGTGCGTTTGACCCCAAAGTGCGGTGTTACAGAAAGATGCTTTCCTCTCAGTATTGAAATAGGAAAACTTGAGATTACAATGGAATTTATCATCAAGTTCATGATTATAACACATTTTAAACAATCTTTTTCTAGCACTTACAAGAGTATAAGGAAGCTTAAATTTGTTAACCGCCTCCGTGGTCGAGGGGTTAGAGTCGATGACTTCTAATCCAGATACCTCTCTGGCGTGGGTTCGATGCCCGGGAGATGCTTTGGTGGTTTGACGCGGAGGAAGGTAGTCTAGTACTGGTGTAACTCTCCAGGAACGATGGTTAGGAAACTACCCGCCTATATGACTGAAATACTGTTGGAAAAAGGCCTAAAATGAAACAAACAAACAAACTTAAAATTGTTTGTTCTGAGTTTACATAAATGCTGAGCTAAACAACCCGTACAAAGAAGAATAATCATAGTGTCAAAATGAACCTCGTTCTTCTAACATCAGTACCAACAACGTCTTCTATAACATACCTAACCAGAATATTTCTAGTTTTTTTTTTTTAAATGGTGGTGAAATTAAATTAAAGTCTTTCAAATTGTAATGTAAAAAATTATATATCTATAATTAACAGAAAATTCTAGTTTTTCCTAAAAATGCAGGATTTATTTATATCTTGTGGTTGGTATGAAAATTATCATATTTCACTCGTGGCTACCGCCACTGATTGAATATATATTTACTTGTAAAGAAACTCTACCTTAAACCAAATATAACAACGTTTAAAGATATAGGCAAATTACAGAAGAAGAAGAAGAAGAAGAAGAAGAAGAAGAAGAAGAAGAAGAAGAAGAAGATAAAGATGAAGCTCTATTCTTTCATAAATATCACAGTTCACAATTTACAAAGCCATTATCGCACATAGTCACATTTTTGGTAAATAAACATATGAATTAATATTGGTATTAAATCATTACAATAAATTTGTCAATATAATAAAAATAGATGAGAAAAAACTGAATACACTACTCTTGCAAGCTTTAAATGTGTTTTACTCGTACTTACTTCCCTTGCATTTCAAAAATATCTAGTATGTGACTAGCAAAAAAACAACGAATAGTTGTGTTCCTAGAAATGTGTCTGTACAGTAATAATCTGTTTTTGTTGATAATTAAATAATCGTACAACTCGAAGAAAATAAATCCTATATTTATTATAGAAAGTCCACTACGTATGAAATGGCACAGCTCTCACAATAATTATAGTTATTTATTTATTCGTGTATCACAAGTTATCCATACTAATCATATGATTTTACAAAAAAACTCACTAAAAGCACAGCTTTAAAGTTTTTATTTCTTTATTATAAATTTTAAGGCAAATACAGTACAATTAAAATACATAAACCAACCCTTTGTAAAAAAAATTCCTCTTCGTGACTTGTGTGACATAATTGTCATTTGAAGTTCTTATCAGTGAATGAAATCTGACTACGTGAACTAAATTAGCAGAGATTCTACTAAAGTAAGGTAAGAATGTCAAGTAATGATAACAAGCATGTGTACAAGTTCACAAAATTATTCCCTCTATCTATATGTGCATTATACACTTTAAAACAGTTCATGACGACATTTTAATGAAATCTCCTTCATCATGGTAAGCATTTACTTGACTTATTATTAAGCTTTTGTTACAGAATTTTGCTAACTTCAATGAGAATTTTACATCTGACAGTATGTACATATGATAATATACGTCACATACGATTGTCTTTATGGAAGTTTGGGACATAAAAAAAATAATTCCATAACTTTTCAGATGTTTGAAGTTTGGAACAAACTTTACATATATAGTACAATTCTAATTGTAAGCTGTCATGTAGCGGTATCATTGAACTGTTATTGCACCACACACGACAACGTAAACCCGGTGTTTCGAAACAATTTCATACCTGCTAAAGAAGTTCTGATAGAGAACAAATGTTTCAAAGGAAGTATACATGGAGATTTATTTTGTCCGGAGAATTTACCGGTATGTTGAAAAATTTAATTCCATCTATATCATAAAATAAATGTTAGGTAATGTGTTTGAAAAGAATAATCTTGTTCGAATAAATCAGTCAATAATATCAAAATAGATACAATGTATATTAGAAATAGAGTAACAGGGCTGGTATAGACTAAAGTTGCGAATTAAAACAATATTTTTTGTCAATAATCAGATTAAAGTTTGTAGCTACTATTCATTGACGACGCCGGTGAGCGGCGTCGTCTGTTATGGATTGCTTTTTTATTTTGGCCTATGGAAGGAGTTGTTATTATAAGCAGTTAATGTCATGTTGTGTTAATTAGTTTTTTTTTTATTCGTAAAAATCAACTAAACAAATATGTTGTTATATTTGCACACCGTACAATCAAATGGGCAGACAGCTGTTCCAGCGTCGACAGCTGTACCAGTATATACATGTCGGCGTTGGGAATGCAATTGACGTACGGTAAGTATTCATATATTTTTAACATATCCAAACTGTGTTCAAGTAAATCAATGTTATGGATTTATAGTCAACATCCAAAGGAGCATGCTAACAATTTTCTGGCCCTGTGCAAGCTTTACTTCACGTGAATTTTGACTGAAAATAACCGCACTATCCGATGAGATGCGGTATTTTTAATTTAAAGTCACAAAAACTTAATATATTTTTTCATGATAATAAATCCTTTTTTCATACGATTCGTAAACGTCAACATTTCGTCATTAAATATTCCAAACCATACCTTCAAAAAAGCTTTTCTGTTAAAGTATTTAAGGTATTTAAGTTTGAGTGTCATCAAAATTTTAGTAACGTCATCAGCTGTTTGCCTCTTTTTAATGATAACATCGACAGCGATTCATCGGCAAGAATGAATAACGCTGAAAGCTGTTCAAAGAAACAATTTTCAGCGCTTTTGTGCTACAATAACTAGGAAAGAGTAAAACTTTTTTGTTCATTTAAAATATTACTTCATTCATGATACTTTCTAATTATATTATTTTTATTATTACTTTCTATTATTTGTTGTATCTTAGCTCAGAGGCCTTTATCTCCATTTACCGCACTGTACTTCAATATAAAAGGTAGCAAGATCTATTAATATGTTTCTGAAATATTAAATTCAAAGAAAGTAAAGGCAAATTTAACGCTTAATACGAATACTCTGTAATATAAATAAAGGCATCCATCAAGTGAAAATTTTGTTTTTAGCAGCTCCAAAAATGAATAATATCAGAGCCTCTATAAAGGTCCATATCATTTACTTGATTTGACATTTTATATTTATCTTAGTCCCGGCTCAACATGAAGTGCCTCAACGCGAAACTTGTTTAATATGCATTTCCGCTTTTCAAAGTATCTATAGACGGCACAAAATTATGCTCATATGAATGTATACAAGATTTCACGTATCATATCTGTCTTACTTTTTACCCGTTAACTTAATTGACATAAATTTTAAGTGTTAACAATATATCTCTAAATATCATTAAAAGGGAAAAACACTTTGACTTACCGCAAACGTTAACGATACTTCTTTGCAAGGCGATCTGTTTTATACTTTTATTGTTATTAAGTGTCTATGTGGTTTTCCAAAAGTCAGTTTTTTTTCTAATAGCACATGAAGGTAAAGTCAAAGAATAAACATATAAACACACAGTAATCTGATTGGAAATCCCCCGCATATACAAATCATAGATATGAATGATTTGATGTTCGTTCTCTTTTGTACCATAGTCTGAATATGTATATCCTATAAAATGTAACCCATCTGCAAGAATGCAAACATGGCATCCGCATTATTCATCCATGCACTTTCATATCTCGGGTTACACAGCCATTCACTGCATATGACTTGTCAACTATATGCCTTTCTTATATAATACTTGATGGATGCCTTCATTTACAAGACTGAATGTTCGTATTAAGCGTTAAATTTGCCTTTGCCTTTTGAATTAAACATTTCATAAACCCATTACACGAACTCCACTGAGGTTTACAATTATAAGCCTAAAACATGAAGTTTTATTTTTTCACATAGATAAACATGAGCACATAAAACATAAATATTAATAAAATATAACCAAGAAATATAGAAGAAATACATTGGAAATCATATGTTTGTGCTATTCTCCTTCCGATTTGAGTGAAAAGCGTTTAAACTCTTTTCAATTTTGGGTCATTTTTCACTATTTTTATAATTATCATATATTCTGGAAAAACGGAGCAAGCTAATGATCGGAAAATTTGCACATAAGTTATTAGAATAGATCTACATCAAATGGAGAAATAATCTCAAAAAATTATTTCCAGTCCCGTTATGTCAAAAAACCTTAGTGCCTTTAATAGATCTTGCTACCTTTTAATATTGAAATACAATGCTGTAAATGGAGATAAAGGCCTCTCAGCTACGATACAACAAATAATAGAAAATAATAATAAAAATAATATAATTAGAAAGTATCATGAATAAAGTAATATTTTAAATGAACAAAAATTTTTTACTCTTTCCTAGTTATTGTAGCACAAAAGCGCTGAAAATTGTTTCTTTGAACAGTTTTCAGCGTTATTCATTCTTGCCGATGAATTGCTGTCGATGTTATCATTAAAAAGAGGCAAACAGCTGATGACGTTACTAAAATTTTGATGACACTCAAACTTAAATACCTTATAACTTTAACAGAAAAGCTGTTTGGAATATTTAATGACGAAATGTTGACGTTTACGAATCGTATGAAAAAAGGATTTATTATCATGAGAAAATATAAGTTTTTGTGACTTTAAACTAAACTATTTTCAGTCAAAATGCACGTGAAGTAAAGCTTGCACAGGGCTAGAAATTTGTTAGCATGCTCCTTTGGATGTTGACTATGAATCCATAACATTGATTTACTCGAACTCAGTTGGGGTATGATAAAAATATATGAATACTTACCGTACGTCAATTGCATTCCCCGCGCCGACATGTATATACTGGTACAGCTGTCGACGCTGAAACAGCTGTCTGCCCATTTGATTGTACGGTGTGATTTGTATTTACTAACGTTATGTAAAAAACATGTGCATTATGATATTATTTTCACGACATTGCAGGCTCAGTTTAACAGCTTGTCCCTTAGCTTTATTGGCAATACTAAACCCCGGATTTCGAATATCGTTGTGGTGTACATTGATGCCGTATTCTTTTTCATTCATTTATATTTTTTCAAAATTTTCCTTCAAGAAGAACGTTCACCTGCAAATGAGTATTAAGATTGGTAATGGAACTGTTGTAAACGATTATCCTATTGATTTTATCCATATTACGTTTATCTACTGCACAGACTAATTGTTTTTACAAAGTGAACCATTATCCGGATGTTAAAAGCTGTCCGATTTTTTGCAATTACTGCTGTCACATGGCCATCAGACTTTTTATGAATACTTTACCATTACTTTGCATGGCTTAATAAAACTGAGCCTGCAACATTTCATAATTTTGCTGTTTATGGTGTTATTTTGGGTTTCAGGTTTTCTCTATTTTAAGGGGAAGTAACTCATGTTTACTAAATTATTTGTTCTTTTCTGTCTATCTTAGGTATTACTTACTATTTTTGTTGTTTGCTTTTCTTGTATATCCTTTAAATAATAAGAATTGTCTTTAGAACTAAATGCCGTTTCATTGTTTAAATAACATTTCTGCAACATTAAAATTTTTGGCCGCCAGCCGCTGGCCGCTGACTTCACAAAAAAATGATAAAATAAAAAAATCTCAAAAGTGATTTTTTTCCTTTTTATATATCCTTTAAATAAATGAGAAATGTCTTTAAAACTTCATTAAATGCCGTTTTATTGTTAAAATAACATGTTTGTATTCTAGTATGCTTAGACATATTCTGTAGTATTTTAATAAGCATGAACTAACCTAATAAAGGCTTTTAATTTTCTATAAACTGGCCTTCTGTACATTTTATTATCTGATATAATTAATATAATTGAAATTAAAAATATATATTGTACATTGTTTCGGATCATGTACGGCTATGTATATACTGTAATATTAATGATGTATATAGTATAATAATAATTTCGTGTGAACCATTATAAATGATTACATATTTCAGGTGACTTATTGGTCCATTGGGCCGGGTATTATGTTAAATTATTTATTCCCGTTATAATTTATGTAAATTTTCATAAACATGTCATTACAATAAAATATAACTTGCTTATTTATATTAAGAAACTTAAATACATAAAAACTACAAATTCTAAAACAAGTAATTGACAGACAGTAAAGCTACAAATTCTAGTACAGTTGATTAACATTGATTAACAGATATAATTACTACACTGATTAACAGACACTAAGGCTACAAAATCTAATACAGTTGATCAACAGATATAAATAATATGTACAACGTCCAATTCAATGTAGTTGATTACCAGGCAAAATACTACAAAGTCTAATATTGTTGACAAACAGACATAAATACTACAAAGTCTAATACTGTTGACGAACAGACATAAATACTACAAAGTCTAATACTGTTGATTAACAGACATATATACTACAAAGTCTAATACTGTTGACGAACAGACATAAATACTACAAAGTCTAATACTGTTGATTAACAGACATAAATACTACAAAGTCTTATACTGTTGACAAACAGACATAAATACTACAAAGTCTAATACTGTTGACGAACAGACATAAATACTACAAAGTCTAATACTGTTGATTAACAGACATAAATACTACAAAGTCTAATACTGTTGACGAACAGACATAAATACTACAAAGTCTAATACCGTTGATTAACAGACATAAATACTACAAAGTCTAATACTGTTGACGAACAGACATAAATACTACAAAGTCTAATACTGTTGACGAACAGACATAAATACTACAAAGTCTAATACTGTTGATTAACAGACATAAATACTACAAAGTCTAATACTGTTGACGAACAGACATAAATACTACAAAGTCTTATACTGTTGATTAACAGACATA